AAATCCACTTGAACATGACGCTGCTTTTTCCGAAGTTTCTCAAGAACCATTCGAGCCAGAGAATTCGTTTTGGCATCGTTGGATAGAGAATTGAATGGATCCGCCCTTGCATGCAAACCAATTCTATGGGAATTAATGCTAACCGAGTTACCTTGAGTTGAGACTGCCCTGCTTCTGGCCAAATCAATTTTGTTCCCCACTAGAATGGCAGGCCTGCATCTGAGAAGGTCTAGATCTTGAAGCCTATTCAACTCGGCTTCAGCCTTCAGGAAACTGGCTTTATCCACCACGGAATAAAGAACGACAAACGCATCCGGCGGATTCGTTCTATCTATTTCCTGCAAACGCAAAGAAAACACAGTTGAGGAAGGTTATCATTGTTCAAATAGCCAAATGGGAATTTAAACACTTATAAATCGCATTAGCGATCGCTAGAACTGAGCTGTAATAACTATAGGTCGACGCTATCATCGTCAATAACAAAATCAATTAGGAACTGTACGATCTAAATTAGCTGCGCTAAAATACGAATCTATTTTTGCCAGACCCTCATTAAAAACTCAAAAGCTAAAATTAACTTTTGCCCTAATTTTGTAACATCCAAACATAATTTGTTGGTTTTTTCGAATGTCGAATTCAAGATCAAAGACCGGTTTTGTCGTGCGAATATTTTCAACTTTATATCGCTTTTACGAGGTACCTGTCTCGTAAGCACCAACAAAATACGATTGGTTGTCGAGAGTAACCAATGGCGAAATGGTTTTGCAAAAATCGAGATTGCCATCGATTTTTTATTTCGCTCCTGAAAGCAATAAGCGGCCGAACTGCTTATAAACATGCCAGCAAGCTGATAAGTTACAAATGGAAACTAATAAACAGAAATATCGCAGTTATAATTTGTCGTCGGGCTTTTCGGACGATGTTTTCCGCAGTTGAGTCAATAAACATCTTTCGACCGTGTCGACCCAAATATTGGTTTTTGTGCGAAGCTCCTTTGAGCAAGTAGTTTCCTGCTTGGCCAAACGTTTTCTACAATTTTTCCCTCAATAAATTCGGCTTTTTATGTGCGCTTTCAGAGCCAACTGAAGTTATTATTAAAATCATGACTGCCCAGCAATATACTCTTAGTTGTATGTCCGTATACATACATAAAAGTCAATTTTCAATTTTTTTAATTTAATTGTCTAGCGGCTATTGGCTGGGACTCATCGATATTTACTCATTCCTGTGTAAACTTGTGATGGTTGCAATCAAAAATAGGGTGTTTCCACTTTTTTTCAATGTTAATTTATAGAAAGTAGTTATGGCAAACATTGCACTGATTTTTTTTGCTAAAAAAGTCTCCATAATTATTTTACAGCGAATTTAAGTTCAAATCAGCTATCTTCCGCCAAAAACGCCGAACCCGTATCGTCGGTTGCCTATCGCGATTGTGACGTAGCAGGTCATATCAACAAAGTGCCTCGTATTTATTTCGTTGTTTTCGCAGCTTTATTTTATTATTTAAGTGATTGTGATTATCATTATTTTATTGATTATTATTATGTTGCATAATGGAAAATAGTGACATGTATGGATCACGGAATAAGTGGCGTTTTCTACCAGGATGCAAGAATACCTCAATAAGTGCTCCAAACAAACGCTTTCTAACCGTTCCTCGTGATTATGCACGTAAAGTTTTATGGTTCAAAGCAGCTGGACGTGATGTTCCTTAATCAAAACCAATGTTTTTTTGTTACGAGGATTATTTTAATGAAAGTACGAACAAAACGCTAATGATGAGGCAGAATACAGTGCACAAAGAACCCTCGCGTTTCAATTCCCATATTGTTCTCGTGATGCCCACAATACAAATTTAAGAGTTAATTTTACTTCTAAAGCAGCCATGTGTACAAGTTAGATTAAGTTGAATAACTGAAATTCTATATATTATTAACCTAATTTAAACCAAAACAGACAGACTAGAATAGTAAGGAGAGAGTAACTAATAAGGAATTTACGGATTTTTACTTACGCTGCTGCTTTGACACCCTTAAATTCGGCTGAATTAAAGCGTTCGTCGTTTTTTAAAAAATCGGTAACCGTAAAAATATATATATACATGGTAAATTGTTTGTTGACGCTTCAAGGGATCCTACTGAAGCGATTTTTTGGTTTAACACAAACTATAAATTATTTAAATCCACAAAATGATGAATAAAACACAACCACACAACTAAACACTATGCCCAGAACGTAAACAATCCGCCATTTATATGACCAGAGACGTCACAACCAATAGGATTGCGTTTTAGAGATTCATGAATAATTTGAATTTTAGCTGAATTTGTTTATTAAATATCTAACAAAATAGCAATAGATAGATAGTATAAACTTATTTAATCTGCCATATATAGGGTGATTTAAAATTGGGGTCATTCCTTTCAAGGGGTGATAGAGGCTCCTTTGGGGAGTACCAGAAAAATATTGAAAATTTTTTTGTCGAAAATTTCTAGAAGATATTAACAGTTGAAGATCGAATTTGGCTACCGGAATTTTTGATCGGAAGTGTTGGCAGTTGGTTAAGAAAGGTCGCTTTTAGACACGCTATGAATTTTTTTAGTTGCATAAAAACTCGCTTCAAATTCAGGCTCAGAACTGAAGCAATTTATTTCCCCATTGTTAAAGTATTGCTCGACAAATTTCTAAACTGCGTTTCCACTCACTTAACGGTTTATTACGTCATTGCTCGACAGCAAAAATTGGCAAGAGACGCTTTTGAAATTGTCACGTTTTGACGTTTGTCATTTTTCAAAAGCGTACAATACAAGTGACGCAATGAGTGTTGACAATTCAAGTGCTAATTTCACGGTTCAAATAAGTTGCCTGACATTTGCGCTATTTAAACAGATCGGGCTTTGCATGTGGCAACGTCGGCGAGCGCAGAGAAATAGGCCATTTGAACGACTTTGAGACTGAACTTCTAGCAAAGTTAAAATGGACAAATTGTAAGAATACTTTAAATTATGATCAATAGTTCTCTATACACCTACGTAATTGCTTAAAAAACCTGTAGGTTGCTTTTTAATGGAAACACTTTTTACCATCATCGCTTCTGATCGAAAAATGACCGTTTTTGACACTTCAATCATTTTTGCTCGTTTCCCTAACAGTGCAGTACAATTTTCCAAAGCGGCTTTGGACACCATGATGATTAAATTTCAACAAAAAGTCGATTTTTTAATAATTTTAATAATGATTTAAATTATAAACATTTTAATAATTTTCAACCAACAATATCAACTAACTGACCAGAACTGAGAAATAAAACATACTTAGCCCGCGTGCTTGAACAAGATATCTCCAAGGCTTGTTCCAGAAGAGAGTGTTGTCGATTTAGCAATAAAGTAGCTAATTTCAAGCGACCCTGTTTGACCTGAACACGCGGGTTGGATAATTTTAACAAAAAGGACGTTCTTGCATTCCCCGAGGAAATTATTTATAGAACAGATTGCATTTTATAAATATGCCCGTGTCATAGAAATAGAAAAGTCAATGTACGAGTGGTGCAACAGAGAATTGCAAGTCAATGTTGCCGATGCTTCGAAACTGTTCTGTTCCAGTTCCAGGCTGCATGAATCACAATCCTAAATTACAGTGTTTGTCGTACAGCCCATGGGCGTTACCCAGACAAAACCAACATATGGCTTCGTCTCATTGCACTAATAAATATTTCAGCTTTTCCGAGTATTTTCTTACCTTGGAATTGGCAATATTTTGGAAAGTTAATTCGGATTCTTCACCGTTGAGCATAATTGATACTGTTTGGGACTTGATGAGCATATCTGAAACCAACAGAAAACATCATCATTTCACCTAATTTGCTTTGGGCATGTGCTAAAACGATTCCCCTCGGATAATGCGAGATAAAAAATAGGCACGGTGAAACTTTACAAAGCTCGACAGGATCGTGTAAACACAAAATTGGAATTGTTCTAACAGGAGCGGCTCTGTAAGATAACAGGTTTCCAATTACCGAGTTAGTTGGTCACAATCAAGATTGCTGCAAGTTACACTGCCCTATTGAATTTAACAGGATTAGTGAGGATCATAGATTGTATTAACGTTTAGAGTAGGTATCCAGCAGGAAGGAAACTGAAGACTGAAAACCGCTCGAGTGCTACAGAAAACTCAGGCATTTGCTGATAATTTTACATAATTGATACAAATCAAATTCATTCCTGGGTTTCAGTCATTTATTGTCTCTATTTATCAATCAAAATACGTTTCGGTGTATTTTTCCACCATCATCAGTTTTTACGTGTAGCGTTGTTGCTGCTTTAAGCCTTGGCATGCATTTTC